GTAGGGGGTGGAAAGTCCCGAATGGCGGCAACCTTTGAGGGAAGAGGCCGAATGCCGTTTGAGTCTATCAGGTGACCTAAGAACTCAAGAGAAGTGGCTCCTAGGACACATTTGGCAGGAGGCAGGGTGATACCAAAATGCTGAAATCGGTCGAAAAGCAGGGTAAGGTGTTGGAAATGTTCCTCGACATCTCGACTGGCGACGAGAACATCATCAATATACACATAAACAAATCGAAGGCCGCGTAAAACACGGTCAATGAAACGTTGGAAAGTTTGTGAGGCATTTCGGAGACCAAATGGCATACGAAGGAACTCAAACAAGCCAAAAGGAGACGTCACTGCCGTTTTGGGAATGTCCTCAGCCGCAATCGGAATTTTATGAAAAGCCCGCACCAAATCGATCTTCGAGAAAATGGTTTTGCCGAAAAGGGCTCCAGCTAACTCCTGAAGATGAGGAACGGGGTACCGATCGGGCATAGTGATATTGTTTAGGGCTCTATAATCGCCACAAGGACGCCAATCATCCGTATTTGGTTTAGGAACAATGTGCAAAGGAGATGCCCAGGGACTGTCAGACTGTCGAATAATCCCTAGTTGCAGCATGTGGTCAAATTCTGCTTTAGCAGCCGCAAGACGCGCGGGAACAAGACGGCGGGGACGAGAGAAGACGGGAGGACCAGTCGTTTTTATGTGATGAACAATATCATGGGGAAATGAGGTGTCAGAAAAATGGGGCTTAGTGAGGGTAGGATATTTTGCTAAAAGTCTACGAAATGGACAGTCAGGGTTTGGGTCAAGGACGGAGAGCTGGTTAGAAGCTGAGAATGGAGGAAATCCTTTGGCGGTGAGGGTAGTTACGCGATCATGGAGGCGAAGTTGTCTGCAATCCACCAGAAAGTCAAAGGCGGCCAAAAAATCAGCACCAAGGATAGCGGTGGGAACAGCAGCAACCACAAATATCCAGGGGAATAATCGCCGGAGGCCAATATCCAGGGAGAGGGATCGAAATCCAAAGGTTGTAATGGGGGATGAGTTTACGGCTTGAAGATAAAGACCATGGTTTGGGCAACGTCGGTCGGCTGGCGTGGGAGGGATAACACTAATCTGAGCGCCAGTGTCGACTAAAAAATGCCTGCCACTCGTGCTATCACTCACGTAAAATGTGCGACCCGTAGAGTTGCCAGAGAGCTCGGCCGCATTTACTCTCCGGCCGAGGAGTTTCCCTGCGTGGACTTGAAGGAGCAGGGTGGGACACAGCGCCGCGCCTTGTCGCCATAGTTGACATGATACCAACATAGGTTGGCGGTCCTGGGGCGAGAGCGGGAACGACGACGGTCACGGCCGAAGGAACGTCGAGAGGGACCGGGGGATCGGCGCAGCTGCAAAGCGGCAACAGTCGCTGACAAGTGGGCAATCTGTGTCTTTAGTTCAGCCAGGTCAGAGGTGGACACGTTGAGAGGCTGGGACACCTGAACGATCGTCGGGGATGACAAACGCTCAACCTCCATCATACGGTCAGCCATCTCCGCTAACTTTGATATTTCTAGGTCGTCGGAGCCAGAGGCCAAGATTGTTTGTACAGACGTCGGCAGACGTTCTAAGAAGATCTCTTTTAAGAACTTCTCGTCGATTTTCATGTTCCCAACCAGAGAACGCATGCGACGCAAGAGTTCCGACGGCTTGCGATCACCTAAGGCCTCCTCTTTTACTAGTGCGTGATAACGCTGCCGATCGGAGACTGATGTCAGGCGAAGAAGTTCAGCCT